CCGCGGCTTTGCTCCGCATCTCCCTGATCTGCTGGAGAGGCCAGACCAGGGAGACGCGGAGCAGCTTTTCTTGCCACGGAGGACGCGGGCGGCAGGACCGCCGCGGCGCGTCTCGGTGGTCTCCTGGGGGGGGGGCGCAGCTAGTGCGGGGTTCCCTCACCCCGTTCGTAAGTAGGGATCTGACATAAGTCGGATCCACGTAACCCGGGGATTGCCTGTATTCAAGTATTGCAAGTGAGGCCAGACCAGGGAGACGCGGAGCAGCTTTTCTTGCCACGGAGGACGCGGGCGGCAGGACCGCCGCGGCGCGTCTCGGTGGTCTCCTGGGGGGGGGGCGCAGCTAGTGCGGGGTTCCCTCACCCCGTTCGTAAGTAGGGATCTGACATAAGTCGGATCCACGTAACCCGGGGATTGCCTGTATTCAAGTATTGCAAGTTAGATGTGTGAACGTTAATGGGTTTTTTGAGACTGAAGCTATTTAAAGGACATGTGAATAAATGTAGAATAAGCTTTCAATTCTTGTGTCCATGATGTTTTGGGAGATTAGTAGAAAGTAAACTCTGAGTAGATTTTGTCAAGTCCAGATTTGAATCTGAGACTAACCCAGAGACTGATTCGGCAATCCAGAGCACCCTTCACGCTCTCTTGGTTCCCCTATTACATTTGTGAACAAATCCTTTTGTTCAGTCTGCCTATTTACTGATCCTGGTTCTTGGCTAAGAGAGAATTTCCCAGGTCTGAGTGGGAAGCCCAACAGGACTCCAAAAGTACCAGTATTTACCTCTCATTTGCTACTGCTAAATTTCTGATGAGTAGAAAGTGACTTAGTTATATGGCTTAACCTGTGGATCTTCATTTCACAAATGTAATATGCAGATGACAATCCCTTTAATGGTTTTGTACATATTAACTAAATTTATGTCCCTATTAAAATTGTTGTCTTAGCTTTTTATCTCTGGTTGAGCAATTCCAATTCAGTTCAGATTGGTAGTAACTAAGGACTATCTGAAGGCAGTTCAGTATGCTATATGCCTGGAGTGGGCTTTCTTATTGTAGACATTACAAAAATCACTGCCAAAGGTGGTACTGCCCTTTGGCATCTGTCTCAAACAGGCATGGTTTAAATTTGAATGAATCAATGTGAATTAACCTTCTGTCCAGTACCACTGTAGGAACTTTGCACTGCTGCTGCTAGATGTGTTTAGCTAGAATCCTGAATCTGCCTGTAATCACAAGCAGGGTTCAAACTCTGTCTCAGCTCTTGAACATCTTCCTGGATCCACAAAATGTGCACTGAGCTAAGTCAATACCATTTTCAGGCCTAACCTTGGGGGTACCTGTAAGTAGAGCCTTGCCCTTTCGGTGTCCTGACACTCCCTATTCCCACTCCTAGTGCAGGTTGCCCCTCTGTTAGGGTTTTCTGAGGGTACAGTGAGGTAATTAAGCCAGGGCCACTGTGACCCACTAAATATCAGAAATGGGGAAGCACTTCCCTTCATGTTGTGATTCCTAGCAAAGAGATGGCCACAGCCTCTTGGCTTAGTTCTGTAGCTAAGGCAACACTGGCTAGCAATGATGAACTGTTCCAGCTATCACGTGGTTGCCCGGGAAGCCAGTGGATTCCCTGACTACCATTAAAAGGTTTATTGAGCATCTCTGTTTTTCCATTGTCTGTCTAGGATTTTGCAGGCGCCAGAGTGTTCCTGCTCCTTCTGCATCATTAAGATGCTAAGCTGTTTCCTGTACCACTTCCTGCAGAA